TTTCGTCTCGTAATAAAGGCCTAAGTTTATCAGTTAGACTCGCTGCATTCTAAATAATTTTTGACTGGTGGTTGATGCTACCCATAAAGGATCGCAGTTGTTTTAGTGACTTAGGTGGAATCAAATTAAGTATTGCTTCTGTCTTCGTTATTTTAGGAACAAAACCCGATGGTGATAGCTTATATCCAAGCCAATTCACCTCCGACTGGAAGAACTCACATTTAGGAGTTTTCAATGCTAAGTTGTTGTCATTTAGCTTTTTTAGAACGTCCAAAACTAATTTTTCATGTTATTTTTCATCTCCTTTCGAAACAATCAAAATATCGTCTAAGAAACAAATGCATTCGGAGCGTGATCCATGGCTTTTTGAAACTCCGCTGGCATGTTCGCCAGACCATAGAAGCCTGGAAGAAACCTGTACGTTCCGGTTGCTTGTCCCCCCACAATAATGAAATTACACTGTTTTGACTTTTCAGCAGTCATTTTGAGTTAGCTATATGCGCATTTTAAGTCTAAAACTGTGAAATACAGCGTACCTACTGTATTTGCAGCAACGATTTGACTGACTCCATCTAGAAGTTACTCGACGTTTGGCATCTGATATTTGTTTTTAAACAGTTTTTTGTTAATAGGTTTAGCGTCTAACGCTAATTTGATCGAGTCGTCTTTTTTCACTGTGATGACATTTGCGGCAATGAAACAGTCACTGGTACATTTATCCAATTTATTTATATGTCCTTCCGATAACAATTTAGTTAGTTGCGATTAAACTTTAACTTTATCCTCTATTGCCGACCTCCATAATGGGTTCTTGCTTTATCTTTACTTGTGAGCCCATTAGACCGCCTCTACTTGCAGTGTTCTGCAGTGTTAGCATATGATTTTTGAAAGGCTTGCCTCGTTTGTTTGCTTTGTTCAAACTTAAGCGCTCTCTTCAGAACTTCGTCAGAAGTGAATGTTTCAAAAGTCAACGCATCTTGTAGAGCTGGGTTTTTTCAATTTTGAAATGAGCAGATCTCGAACTTATTCGTCTTCTAATGTGCCAAGCTCCGCTTTTGCTGCTTGCGCAGTCAGTGCGGCATGGAAAGATTCTAGCGACTTGCCTTAATAATTTATCTCTGGCTTCTCAGTTTGCGATGGCTTCTACATCCTCATTGGCTCTAGGTGTTTCAGGCCGTGGCATTGGTTCTTTTATCACCGCTTTTGGATCCTCTAATAGTACTTCTGGATTCACATTCTCTTTTACAGTAACTGCCAGTAAAAATTGGACGAACCAAATTTTAAACTTCCATGGTGAATCCTTGCCAAAAAACCTGCTGACTGCGCCATATGATACCTCTATGCTCAGGGTATATAAATATAACAAAATATAGGTCTCAAATGGTTAATTCTCTTGAATCTTTTAGATCTATTTTTCTCTTTAAGTTCGACTGGGTTCCGTCACGCAGTACGGCACACTGTTCAGTCGTAGAATCAATTAGGTCAACGTAAGTGACCTGTAATAATACTAAACATACAAATACATAAATAACATACGCACTCCCCAAGGTTACTGTAGTGTGGCTGCAGCTGCAGCTACTGTACCACAGTTACTGGGCTCCAGTGATACAAAAGGAAAACGCAAGAAGTCGTACCGGTGAAACCCAATGGGTGTGCAAAAACATTCCAGACCCTTGAAACGCAGGAAGGCTTCATCAAAACAATCCTACAAAGATGACCCAACTTAGCATTAAAGCGATCAGGATTCCCGGAATAAAATTTTCTTAGGAAATGACCCCATGGACCTAAAATAAATTTACTCTAAACCGAATGTGTTCAAATAGAATCCATGAGAGGACCAGAACGATGAGATACTACACTCATCTAACCTTCTACCTAGTGTTACAGATACATTAAGAAGATCAAAACAATTGCTGCTAGTTATTCTAGACTACAACACTAGGGGCACTCCCCAATCACATCTACCCCACCATTTGTAAAACTTGAAAAACAGGAAGCAGCAGGTCGATCGAATTTTCCGACAAAGGAAATCCCAGTCAAATTCAAGGGGACGTTATAAACAACCAATTCGGGGTTACAGGATAATCGTACTTTTGTGTCAAGCTCTCTTAAGACTCTTTCTCTCCCCAGCTAACCAATTATCCGCCTGCAATCTCCAAAACAAGAAGAAACAACGATCCTCCAAAATTCAGATTTAGTTTAAAAATTTGATTTTTTTAAATTTCTCAAGCGTATTAACAAATAAATGATGAGGTTCTCGAAGTCGAACTTTCGCGCTAATTTTTTTCTATTCAATGGTAGTTAGTTAATTGCTGTAGAATCGTTGGAGGTATCTGTCAATTTGTAGACCCGATGTCTTGAAACTTCTCTGTCCAAACTCACAAGGGGAAAATGTATATGCTGTGATATTACTTTTTATTCTTCAATCCTATTTTACAAGCAAAGCTTGTGTTGTAGTATGAACTCTCTTTTTTTGCAACCTAAAATGCAAATATTGCTGCGACGCAAATATTGTTGCGACAAAATGTGTTCAGTTTGAAAGTGTTCATTTTGATCAATAACCAGCTATTAAGTACAGGCAGTGCTAAAGATACTAACACAGACTATTATATAAGCATTTTAACTTCAAGGTATCATGAATTTGTAGCGTAGGGGTAGTGAAGAAGAACCGAAACAAAATAAGAGGGTTCGAACCTGGGCAGGGTCGAATGTTTTTAATGAACATTTTCGCTAACTAGATTAAATGCATCCGCTCTATAAATTGAGGCAGGCTAGTTGGTTTTTTTTTCAAATTGACTGGTACTGCTAATGCGTCATAACTGACTTTCATCACTTAGCAATATGTAGATTCGTTTTTGGCCTGCTTCACTTCAGAAATTTTGTATACTCAAAGTTTTACTCATTCAGTTTTTCCCAGTAGCGTTATCGGTCATCTTTTTGCTTGTGTATGCGAAATGCAACTTCGCTCTATGTAAAAGTATGCCAGCAGAAGGAATGCTGTGAACTGAATTTTCGTATTAGAATCCATTTGAAAGCCATTCTCTAACTTATACCTGACTAACATAGCTGACAAGTCCACTGGACTTAAAGTTAGATCACGTGTTTCAACTAAATAGACAAACTCATTTACCTCAGTTTTTTTTCAAATGTTTTGTTTACTAGACTTAGTTAAATTATTAGAACATTTTATCAATAATGTGAAGTTTTAACTAAATCTATTCCCGTACCGAGACAATTCTTTATTTCTGACCTGAAATACTTTGTATCTCATCTTATTTCTGCTCAGAAAATCTTTTTGAAATGTTCAAATAAAGCAAGGATTTTCTTTAAATGCTATATTTCTCATCTTAATTTTGATGAGAAAATAGTTGAATCTAGGCTATTTCTAGCTAAGAAAAAATCTCCTGGTGTGCTCAAACCCCAGACCTTCGGCTTTCTAGGCGAAAGTTCTAGCCACTAGGCTACACACGATAAAGATTGACAGTTTCAGCAAAATAAAGATTTTTATAACAAGTGTTAGTTTGCTTTGCATTGCTACTGTTACTGTGTATACTCGAAGCATGCTTATCTCGTTGCGGTTGAGCAGTGAACTGTTTTTTGGTTATTTCTTTCTAAAAAAAAACTAGATCACTTTTGCACAGAATTTAGGGGTACGGGTTAAAGACCGAGGACATCCAGTGTAATAATAATGTTTCAGATGAGTTCTTGCTGTGTAAATATCTTCGCAAACGCAAGGAGTTAGAATTTATGGCCTCATATTTGGCTTACAGCAAGCTTGACTTTCTCGTTTTGATAAACAGTTCTCTTCATAACAAGTCCAATTCTCTGCTATGAGCGACGCTATTTTCTCTGCTCCTTTCCAGTTCCCTTTAGTTTTTCTAAAATCTCTGACAGGAAAAATTTTTTAAAATGACTTTTCAGGTTATAAACTGCAATAAACCGTGTCAGCTTGAAAAGGTCAATCAGTTTTTACAGCCTTCTTACATGCAAAAACGGTGTGAATAATTTTTGAACAGCTTAATTTTGCAATTTTACGAAGGAGTGGGAAACTGGAAAAGAGGCGAGCCCTGCATTGTTTTACTAAATTCTTGTTCAGAGTTTTCGTTTGCTAAAAAAATTGGTACGCGGAACTGTTAGGCAGTGTCAAACAAATTTGGTCCTGATGCGTAAGGTTAAAAAGCCCCTGGTTGCACTATGCCTATGCGAGGAAAAAAGAATCCAGTTTTTCTATTTTAATAGTGTTTTACGTGTTACTATGGCTGTGAATAGATAAGAAAACTATGCAAGGCATGAATAGCAAATCTGTTCAAAATACTTTAATTATTCAATTGCCATATGAACCACTTTTGAACAGCTTTTTGCGTATTTTTACGATGGGGGTGAGAAACTTAAAAAAACTAGTTTTGTTTTGTCTGTCGTTTTTCCTTGAAAGAGTAAATCAAGTGCTCAAGAACCAACTTGATCCCATGTTTTATTTGCGATGATCCTGTCTTGTTTGTGAGGATATTTACACAGCAAAAGCACCTCTGAAACAAGTTATGATATACCGACTGGCTTACACTTTATAAACAACTTGTCTGAAATTATCGACTAGCTGTTTTCAAAAAGTTTTATCTAGCATGCGTCAAAAACTCACGGCTGTTTCTTGAACAGTCGCACAGAACAGGACAAAACTTGAAGATCAAATTCGTTCATTTGCTCGTTGCAATCAAAAAGTTCCTAACTTCTTTATCCTGATACTGTAGTAAGTTTTTGGAATGGCACCGCTGGCTGCCTCGTCATTACATGATTGCAAGAACACGGGCACTCCAAGAGTTGCATCTCTTGAAGTCAATTGTGGGACTATTTCTTTTTGTTACAAGGGAAAAATTTCTTACACCAAATGGCTGTTTCAACTTTTTATAAAGTTTTGATTATTGTTATACTCAAGTTGGAAACATTTGCTAGCTAGGACCAAAATCATTGGGTTTCAACTAGTTTCTAACTTGGTTTTTGTTAAATTACTTAGTTTTTGTTCCATTGCGGGCCTTGCTAGCAATAAAATGACCGATCGGATCATCGTCACAGTCCGGAAATATGCATATTTTATACGCAACCCGTGCGTTACTAAAACTTCGTCTGGTTTCAGATGGAGCCGCTGAACTTCTCACAGACCCAACTCTGCTTTTCTTCGAAACGCTCTCTATTTTTGATGGACTTCTAGTCGTGCTTCTTTTCCGTCCTGCTTGTGAGCTTTTTCGACTCGCCGTCCCAGGCGCGGAAGGTGCTACCGGTCCACTCTCCGATACTTCTTCACTAACTGCGCTGCTCTTCTTAGAGGGGCTTTGAGATCCTTTACGACTCGCGGTCTCAGAAGCTGCAGCGGTTGCTGCTCCGCTCTCAGATACTTGCGCTCCAGCTGCGCTGCTATTCTTAGAGGGGCTTTGAGATCCTTTTCGGCTCGCGGTCACAGAAGCTACAGCTGTTGCCGCTCCGCCCTCAGACACTTGCGCACCAGCTGCGCTGCCCTTCTTAGAGGGGCTTTGAGATCCTTTTCTGCTCGCGGTCGCAGAAGCTGCAGCGGTTGCCGCTCCGCTCTCAGAAACATGCGCACTAGCTGCGCTGCCCTTCTTAGATGTACTTCGAGATCTTTTCCGACTCGCTCTGCTCTCAGTTACTTCTTCACTGGCTGCGCTGCTTTTCTTAGAGGGGCTTTGAGATCCTTTACGGCTCGTAGATCCACTTTGGCCGGACTTCCGCTGACTCCCTGAGAATGCTGTTCCAGTTTGTCCGGATCCACCGGGACGACCTCTGGAGCCATCGGTTCCACTCAGTCGACCTCTTCCCTGCTCTGCCTCGAAGATATCAGCTCCATCCTTTGCATTTTCTTCCGGGAGGCCTTCGTTGTCTGGATCACTGGACTCATTCTTCGGGCAATGGATTGGACAATGAGTGCATTCCATATTTTGATTCTGATCCTCTTCGTCTGCAGATTGCATATTGTTTGTTCGCCGACTTTCGAGGAAAATGAAAAAAGCTGCTGATGGGACAAGTTTGTTACGAGATGTAAGGCGGAGAACTCGAGAAAAGAACTAGAAGAGGAAAATTGGAAAAACTTTTAATGAGACAACTTTGTTACGAAATGAAGATTCGATCTCGAAATGGCGGTTTCAAATCAAAATGTGACTGGAAGTCAGAACTACATCACGACTAACTTTCAAGATGAGATGCAAGACCTAATCCCGCGTTTTGATTAGATTACTTTTTTACTTTTTCATATCAACTCACCCCCCCCCCCCCTCTCTCTCTCTCTCCTACACAACACTTGGGGAAAAAGAGTTCACACGAGCACACATTTCAATTTTTGGTTCTTTTGATATCGACTACCCCCCCCCCCACACATTAGCACACATTTCAACTTTTGGTTCTATGGCTCTTTTTCCTTACCCCACCCCACCTGCAATTTGTTAAAATTAAAAGTACTGTTCACATTGTCCGACTGTGATGAAAATTGACATGCAGACTAATAAGCCCACGATAAACATATTTGTTCTGCATTGTCAACCTTGTAAAACCACTCGTTAGACCATAAAATTGATGCTTGTGTGAGGTGAGGGGGGGGGAAGAGCCGGTGCAATTTTCTCCCCTCACATGCAATTTTCTCTACCACCCCCCCCCCCCTCCCCCCCCAACCTCGCGTAAGCATCAGTTTTCTTGTGTAACTAGTGGTTTTACAAGATTGAGTATGAGAATTATGCCGTATGCTTATTTTGACCACAATCGAACAATGTAAGTAAATCTTTTACTTATAAGAATTGGCAGATGGGGTGGGAAAATGGAAAAGAGCCGAGCCCTGCATTTTTTTTTACTAATTCATTGTTCATAAATTTTGAATGCTACAAAAGTTGGTATGCGGACTAGTTAGGCAGTGGCAAACATATTTGGTCTTCATACATAGCCTTTTAAAGCCCCTGGTTACACTATGCCTATGTTAGCAAAAAAGAGTCCAGCTTTTCTATTTTCATAGGTGTTTTACCTGTTTTTATGGCTATAAATAGATAAGAATACTATGCAAGGCATGAATTGCAAATCGGTTGCAAAATATTTCAAATATCAAATCTGTTGCAAAATAGCAACTCCGTTTAAGTGGATTATAAAGGATTTTTCTTTCCTCAAAAAAATCAATTTCAGGACAAAATAATGGATTATAATTGATTATAATGGATTAATTTTCTTTTTCAAGAATAATCGATTTCGGGGTCTGAGTTTTACATCCGTAACAGATTTTAATCAATTGTTTTGTCTTGGGAATCCATTATAATCGATTAGAATCCATGAGCGCAGTCGGTGCGGGTTTACTGTAGTAAGTTTTTGGAATGGCACCGCTGGCTGCCTCGTCATTACATGATTGCAAGAACACGGGCACTCCAAGAGTTGCATCTCTTGAAGTCAATTGTGGGACTATTTCTTTTTCTTACAAGGGAAAAATTTCTTACACCAAATGGCTGTTTAAACTTTTTATAACATTTTGATTATTGCTATACTCAAGTTGGAAACATTTGCTAGCTAGGACCAAAATCATTGGGTTTCAACTAGTTTCTAACTTGGTTTTTGTTAAATTACTTAGTTTTGGTTCCATTGCTGGCCTTTGCTAGCAATAAAATGACCGATCGGATCATCGTCACAGTCCGGAAATATGCATATTTTATACGCAACCCGTGCGTTACTAAAACTTCGTCTGGTTTCAGATGGAGCCGCTGAACTTCTCACAGACCCAACTCTGCTTTTCTTCGAAACGCTCTCTATTTTTCATGGACTTCTAGTCGTGCTTCTTTTCCGTCCGGCTTGTGAGCTTCTTCGACTCGCCGTCCCAGGCGCGGAAGGTGCTACCGGTCCACTCTCCGATACTTCTCCACTAACTGCGCTGCTCTTCTTAGAGGGGCTTTGAGATCCTTTACGACTCGCGGTCTCAGAAGCTGCAGCAGTTGCTGCTCCGCTCTCAGACACTTGCGCTCCAGCTGCGCTGCTGTTCTTAGAGGGGCTTTGAGATCCTTTTCGGCTCGCGGTCACAGAAGCTGCAGCTGTTGCCGCTCCGCCCTCAGACACTTGCGCACCAGCTGCGCTGCCCTTCTTACAGGAACACAATATACAGATTCTTACACAAGACAATCTAACTTTTAAATTTGAAATAACAGTGAAACTAAATAATTTAGTCTATCACCCAACACCCTTAGCTCCACCAAATATAACAGCTCAACCTGTACCGCCCTCATTTATTACAACAAAACTTGTCAATAGATACGACAGCTATACAAGAGAGACACTTGGATATACAACATTCTATAACCCATTTTCAGGACTCTCTGACTCATAATCTTAGAACTTTTTTCCTTAAAATCCTTTCCCCCTGTTCTTTTAGAATCTACATTCCATCAAAATCCTTCCCCTCGAACAAGACCACAAAACTTACTAGTTACACATTATGATTGTGAAGAAAAAGAACAAAAAACACTAAATAAATACGCAATAAACCAAGTTACGCAATGCAAAACAGAATCACAAGAAATCGAATCCACAATTGTAGTAGCAACACGCAATTCAAAAGCACGAGCTACACCTTCATAGGATATAATTTCACAGCGAAAATTTCAGAGATAAAAGTACCTTGTTTCCAAGTCTCCAATGGAAACAAAAATACATTCGACCACGAACCCTTTTACCAAAGCAACATCAAAAGACTCTTAAATCTTAACCCTGAAGACTGTAAAAACGAACTAAAACGATTACAAATAACTACGAATAAAGGCAGGAATCGTCAACTAGTCAATTTTTAATTTTTTCCAGACTCTGCACATCAAGCAGAACTTCAAAGATACCAAAGTAATATAAATTTAGATGACCAATACGCTTCGTGATCTAATCGATAAAAATTGGATTTCACACATTGGAAGAAATAACCTTCAAATTGCAAAGCAGACACAAAAAATAAAGGAACCAACAGATAATGTTTTTTATTGGAAAATTCAATTAGAAAAATACAAATAACACGAGATTTAAAAGACGACACTATAATTTGTCAAGGAATTCACCTACCTTGCAAAAATGATCAAGGTTATTGCAGTCCTACCACGCGAACCCAGGCAACTTTATTTTGGTTCCCTGAAGAACACATGTATCTCATTTCAATTTGCTAAAAATCACGCAAGAATGACCGAATTTCATCAAAAATATTACATTGAATGAAGGTTTTTTGAAAAAGTAAACCCTAATAAAATAAGATCCAATGGACACAACTATAAACATATTGATGGAATAGAAAACTAATTAACACGCTTTCAAATTTATCCTGAAACAGAAATGACTTGTAAAAATAAATCACCACTTTTCATAACACAATTTTCAGAAATTCTTGTCGAATACGAAAAAAGGTTTTGACATGAAAACAGGAAAAATGAATATACACGCAAATCACCCAAACCAAATCCGCGACAATGAAAATACTGATATCCCGGTAACATTTTTGAAAACACAGGAAACCCTGGAGGAGAACTTCGCCCACAAGCTAAAGATCGCACACATTTACAAAAATTTTCACTGATTAGTAATACATATTTTGTTGCAGTCCGTTATGGTATACAGTTAGATATGAAATTGGAGTATGAAGTAAGTAGAATTTTTCAAGAAATGTCACTATTTGAATTAGAAACACTCCATCACCTATGTGAACTCGAACGAACACAAATGTTACAATCACTAGCATTAGCAGTATTAAAAAGCCCTACGCTGGATTATTGTTATCAGGCAATAGATCAAACTTTATTGTCTTTGAAGGAAACATTCTCTGCTACTACACATGTTTTAAAAAGTATCACCATTATACGTTTTTGACGATAAACGATGTTTTAACAGAATCCCTTTATTCTACAAAAATAATGTATATTTTGTGGACACACTTACCAGACGCACGTACTTTTGGGATACAGCTGTTCCATATAGATCTGAAAATGGTCACAATGTAGTACAGCCACACCCAAATGAGAATAAAAACTACCTTCTCAACCCATACCCTACTTTTGCGCCATCATAAAAGAAACTCTCACCAGAAAGCATTAGAGCTATCGCTCGTAACCCAAATATAGATATACAATCAAAAGGCATAAACTCTCGATCAGACATACAACATCACAGTCAAACACAACACTTTCAAGAACTTCTTACTAAAATGGTCACAATCCAAAGACAATCAATAGACCAAAATTTACACAAACTTGCTGAAACTGCAGGATTTTCTGACATATACGCACAGGATTTTAGCGGATACTTTGAAGATATAAAAGACTACAACTATCTTAACAGTGAAAAGTACCGTCCACAAACATCTCTCCTATAAATGTTTTAAGCTTTGTAAATCTAAAAAATGAACTTCCCTCTTTTCTATGGCACTATTACATCTTAGAAAAATTGACTATAGTCTACGCTATATTTTGTTTTGGATTACTCTTCTCACTATTGAAAGGAATCTACAACACTTGCGCGATACAGACACAAGTAAACAAACAAACAAGTGTAGCGCGTGTATTATTTGCACGGTATTTTTGGAATATTTTCAACCTCAATCAATAGAAAATTCAGACGCTCAAGTTTTGGAATATAACAAAAAATTAAATAGAACCTTAAGTGGAACAAAAATTATTTCACAACAAGATATTCAAACCCCATCACATTTTAAAATGAAGAAATAGTTGAAACAATGCCGACAACTAGACAACACAGCATTTCTCCCATTCATCCTACATTTACATAAATACTACATTTCCGCAGTCAACCATACAATCCTTAGGAAAACCATCTGATGCCCCAAAATATTCACAAATGGCTGATCCAAAATTTAGACCAGTAACGAAATCACGACAAACAAATAAACAAAAAAATTCCCACAAAAAAAAATTTTCGGATTATACATAAGATTTTTTTTGCAAAAAGTAAAATAACAAAACAT